ACCTTAACTCACTATACCTTTTCCTGTTACAGAGCTATGGTAGTAATCTTAGAAGATTTTCATGATCCCTCTATTCAGTAGTTCTTTAACCAGTCTAGTATTATGACTGTATTATGTTAAATAGCCTTGTGTGACTTTTGTACTTTGTTTCTTTAATTATACAATCATTTACAATGATCAAAATTACAGTTTAATCTTTGTATTTCTAATGATAATTACTTTCACATATCCATCACACTTCTCTGTTACTATTAAACTTATTACTATATCATGCAAGTACAATGTCTTGGGAAAAATAAAATGTTGTCCCAGGATAGTCATAAATATCAGCTAGTAAAACTAATGAATATACCTATAATCATGTACATATGACTATCATATATTATGTTGTAATTCCTTTAAGTGTTTCCAATTAAATAAATTTTTATTTTCAGTTGTTCATTGTTCAAACTAATTTGAAACCTACAGTGTATGTAGTTGCTATGATTCAGATTAATATCTAAAAGTGTGCCTTTTACTTCAGTCCTTATAGACTCCTCCCTAATACAGACACTTTATTGTGCCACTCCAATGTTCATTCAAAGTGATCCAACTGACATCTGAGCTGCTGATAATATACAGCAAATTATTGGAAGTAGGAGTATATCAGATAAGTTGTTCATTCAGTCAAGACCTTCAGGTTGTGCTGATCATCATATCAAACTCCATCACATATTGTGCCTTAAAAACATATATACAAATTTTAAAAGTTGTTGCAGCACACTGGGCCATTCCATCTAATATAGCCCCCCCCCCCCACACCCTATTGAGGGGTCTCTTCATAATACCTTTTAATAATTTTGGAACCCCATTGGATGCAATTTTGGAACCCCTATGGATGTCTTTCTACCCCTTTAGGATATTGTTCCTGCCCCTTTGGATATCACTAAAACACCTAATTTTTAGGAAATCTCTTAAGCTACCCTTCAGAAAAATTTAAGGTAAAAACCCCCTCTATAAAATCCTCATATAGGATATCCAGACCTCAATAGACAGTAGGGGGGGGGGCTATTAAATGGAATGGCCTATTTGACTTGGTGAGTGGTGACTACCACCAAAGGAAAATGAAACATGCTGGCCTGCTTTACATACAGAATAAATTTTGAAGCATTTCTACTGTTACTTGTAACGATAATCAGATTTGATGAGAAAATATGGAGTCTTTCTGTATGTTAGTGATGTGATCTCATTGTTCATAAAGCTGAAATAGTTTGAAACTCGTGTGAAAATAAATCCAGTATAAATGTACAGTACGTACCTTGATATACGGAACAATCATTCAATATCATTTCATATTCCAGGCAACACTATCAGTGTTTATTCAGTCGCATTTGAGGCCGAACAGCATCTGATATATACGAGGGTTGCCAAAGCGAACAAAACAATGTCACAAATTTGAGCGCCATACTCCGACAAATTGATACAATATGATGATGAATGTTGCACAGTTTTGTGTACATGTGTGTTCACAGCTTACATCTGAAGTATTTTTCGTAAAAGTTGTTAAAACTTTGAGAATAAATCCATAAACAATCAACAAAACATGTATATTTTTAAGCAAGAAAATCGTAAGCGCCAGCGCTAATTGTAGTCAGCAACATAACGTTGTCGTTACTGCGCATGCGATAAATCTCCAAGAATCTTGGAGATTTCATCGTATTTTACCAGGGTCTTCCTCAGCTCACGCGCCACCACGAGGAAGACCCTGGGGACGAGGTTGAGAATTAAAAGTTTCTATAAAAAACCGTACTACCAACCTCGTTCCCAGGGCTTCAGTGTGAGGGTTGTCGCACTACAGTTTAATTTGCACTGGATTGTCCACATGATTCAGATCAGTGCCTTCAGCAATCGCGTGCCAAATATGGGCTCCCAGAAGGCTTAGCGGGCACACTTCGAGCGCATCGTTTGGAAATTTAGTAACGCTTGTTGATATGGCCGAGAATATGGCCAAGTTTTCTTAATATATTGAAGAAGAAAAGAAGAAATACTCCAATTTTTGAACACCCACACAACAACTTTAAATGTAAGCGTTCAACTATGTCAATATTCTGAAGTTTCGTATGTAAATATGTGCCATAAATTGTTGTATAATTTCATGTATATTTTTAACCGCCGTGCCGTTCAATGGCCGATTGTATATTTTTGTATTTGGTTTCAACAATATATTGTTATTAAAACTTTGTGATCTTGCTTTGTATTTACAGATTATAATTCCAAGCAATAAATGCTGTCATAATATGTTATTCGAGCAAGTCAAACTGTCGAAATCATGATATATAAAACGACAACAAACTGGAATATTCACTACAGTCTACAACTAGAAGGTATGAATATTGTTTATAATGTATTGACTGAGACAGTATCAATATTGACTCATTTAGCAAATATTGATATAATCTCCAAAGCAAGTTCTATGACTATGGATTTGTATGAGAGGAGAATAATTTTTCCTTTGTCTTTAATATTTATATTGTGCTATCAATAGATTCCAGACAACCTTAAATATGCATGTTGCTGAATTCCCTGAATACATTCAGGATATATGTTTTTCATAATTTTTTCTGTGTTGGTGTCATGTACTCAGGTTGTCGTACTCACCTACATTGGGCTAGTATTCCAAAGGTCATAGGTTCGATTCCCACCATGGCCAGGCATATTTTTTAAGCTTGCCCTGTGTGGATATATACTCAGAGTAACATCACAAACATTATGTTTCTCATATTTATACCTGAGGAATTCCAAGCTCAAAAATTATACTGTACCCCTGATTGCCCTGAAAAAATATCCCAATATGCTAAGTACTATACAGACCCTAATATGGTGTAATAGTAAATGAGTCATGTTCACATACCGTAAAAACAATCATTTTCAAAAGAAATCTATCAGGCGCAGAACACGAATATATGAATATCCCCCCCCCCGCATTTTTGGTCTAGCTACGGCCCTGGTCAAGTTGTGTGTTTATATGGAACTGAGGCAGACCAGATACCATCTGGAGTTCATTGTAGTGTTGTGCCAACTACCAAGAAGAATTCATGATCCATGTTTACTTGAGACTTTTCAGGCAGGTCAGCTCAAAGCTAAATAAGAGCTGCTTGCTAAATAAGAGCTGTTTACATTGCCCTCTGAAAATGTACTACCGTACGGAACAGATAAAATGGCATTCTTACTGAATGTACCTGTGCTTGGACAAAGGTTTGAAATGCTATGTACGGTACCGGATATCATATCCAGGCTCAGGGCTGCCGAGAGAATTTGTTGGGCCTGGGGCAAATCTTCTTTGGGGGCCTCATGACTAGACCTTAACTAGATTGCATGTGGAGCTACTGTAAGGGGCCCTCAATTTAAAGAATGCTCTAACCAATTTAAAGGACCTATTCAATTTTAGGCTCTCAATCTCAAGTTAGGGCCCTATATATTCCCCCTCTCGGCAGATAGTGGATAGTAAAATAATCTTACTGTCCACTATTTTGGAAGAAACCAGGTTTGACCTTTGAGATTTGTGAGCAAGGCTTTGGCAATACCCTTGTTTAGAGTGAAGCTCTTTGCTATGATTTCACATATATTTTGAAGTCAAAGTATTATAAACACCCTCACTTTATAACCAATTAAAATAATTATTTATCTTTAAAAATGAAAGTCTAAACCTTATCTTATATCAACAGTATTTGACCGGATATCCTTCAACTATACGTAATAGTTGAAATCTGGCTGGATTGCAAAAAGTTTTATCTGGTGATTCAGAATTGTAACTTGATCAATGTTGGAAATTTGTGGTTGAAAAACCAGGAGAAATGTGTTCCCTGGAGAAACACCCCACTATTGCCTCATCTTAAAAAGAAGTTAGAATTTTGAACAATTTTTATCATAGCTTTAGAGTTGTGTGTTATAATATTTCCCTGGCCACTACCACGAGAATGAAATTAATTAATAATAATTAATATACATTAGGGATGCACTGCTTAAAGCATTTTGCCATCCAGCTGAAGACCAGATATGCCGAATTGTTGGAAAATATCCTACCAGATTCTCCGGCCACATACTGGATTGATTGATTGATTGATTGATTGATTGATAATAGTATTTATTCAGGAAAACCAACATCACAAGTTGTGTTTTTCAGAAGGTCCCTGAGAAAACTATACAAATACAAAAGATTATACAATAATAATATGCATGCAGGTTATATGCGATGTATATACATAAACAAGAAAAGTTTCAAATATAGAACTAAGATAATTATATATTACAAAGAAGAGCTATTTGCAAAATGCGTTCGATTATACTATGGAGATTTAAGAAGTGCAGTATGAAAACTAGCTAGATGGTTAATTGACATAATGTTTTTGTTCAAATCATTATACTCCTTACAAGCTTGGTATAAAAGTTTCTGCTTTCCCCAATTGGTACTAGGTTTGCTGAGATGAATGTGATCTCTTTGTCTCGTGTTATGCAGGTGGTTGGCTTTAGGTAGGTCGAAGTCAAATTTCTTCAAAAATTTAAAAAAATTTAAATAAATTTTTTTTAATTTTTTAAATTTTTTTTTTTTTTTTTTTTTTATTATTATTAAAAATTTAAATAAATTTTTTCTTTAAATTTCCCGCGTGTAACAAGATCAAATAATTCAAATTTTTATATTATATATCGAACATTGGTATCCTGTTCTGCTTATGGTAATGACAGTACGTTTTCCTGCCATTCTGTTGGTGCATCATCTGTAACTTTGTATATCTCTGGACATTATTAGATGAATTTTTGTTGCTAGTGTATATTGGATTTCACAACTTGACCCTAACTTCACCCTTGTCTAGTGTATAGCTGGTGTATAGCTAGTTCATCTCATTACTGACTATGGCCTTTGCTGTATTGATTTTCACCCCACGCAACCTGCTAGTCATTCTACATTTATACCTCAACTTATCTTACTTAAGCAGAGACTTAATGACCGTAACTACACCTGAAGCCTGCAACTATGAATCATTGTACGTGTCTCAGTTATTATCAACCCCTAACATGACGGAATACTCTCATTTACACAATCCCCGACGCTCTCATGCAACTTCTACTTATCTCAGCCATGTCTCGCCAAGTAAGAAATTAATGCGCGGACTTCACATAGCCATGAATTTCTCCATTTCTATGATCCTTATATCTCTATCAAATGATATCGCAACTAATCCTGGTCCCACATGTAACTTCTCCATACCTCCACCTAATGTACGTGGATTAAAAATCTCTCATCTAAATACCCGAAGCATCTTACCTAAAATTGATACACTACGATTAGAAATGAAGGATAAACCGTTCGACATCTTCTCAGCATCCGAAACATGGCTTAAACCCGAAATCTCAGATTCCGAAGTAGCTTTACCTGGTTATTCAATTATACGAATGGACCGTCAAAACAAAATCGGTGGTGGTACTGCCATCTATGTTCGTGATGGTATACCTGTTAAAACCCATTCGGACTTGATGAATAACGATCTCGAAAACTGTATGATTGAAGTTTTACGAGTTAAATCTAAGAAACTGTTTATTTGTTGTATTTACAGAGCACCGAACAATCCTCTTGAAAACTACTTATCCATGTTGAGCAATATTATTCTCAAACTTCCAAATAACAGCGAGCTCATTTTGTTAGGTGACTTTAATATTGACCTTAGCAAAAAAAACCGTTCACCCTCGAAACAACTACTCCATAATTTCTCTCGCCAGTTTCACTTAGACCAACTAATCACGAAGCCAACAAGAATCACTGAAACATCAGAAACCATGATTGACCTGATCTTTGTTAACAATAGTCAGAGAATTGTCCGAAGTGATGTGATTCCATGCTCGTTGAGTGACCACTCTCTTGTGTTTTGCGTGTTTAAAGCTGGTGTCACCAAAGCTCCTCCACGCACAATTGAATATAGATCTTATAAACATTACAACAAACAGTCCTTCCTTCTAGATCTTGAAAACGTCAACTGGTCTACCTTCGCAGACGAAAACGATGTTGATGCTACCGTCAACAGCTGGTGTCAATGTTTTACTGACATAGCAGACATGCACGCGCCAATAAAGAAAATGAAAGTTAAGGGAATTAGCATTCCATGGATGACGGCTGAATTAAGTCGAGCGATGCAAGATCGAGACTATCACCTGAAGAAGGCACAAAAAACACAGTCACAACATCACTGGTCGTCATACCGTAAGCTTCGCTGTTTTGTAAACAAAGCAGTACGTGAATGCAAATCCAAATATTACGAGTCCTTGATAAAAGAAAACAGAAATAATCCCTCTGGCCTTTGGAAAACTCTCAATGAATTAACATCGCGCAACACACATTCTTCAGCACCATCATCTATCATATCGGACGGCGTTGAAACCAAGAACTCGCAATCTATATCATCTCTTTTCAATACTTTCTTCACCAGTATCGGAAGGACTTTGGCAAACACAATCAAGCAAAGATTGTCATCAAACATATTCTCCTGTATTCAACTACCACAATTTAATTCCACATTTGAATTCAAAGAGATTGATGTTGCGTCTGTTTTCAAACAACTATCAACTCTTAAAACTAATAAATCTACCGGCCTTGATGGTGTCAGCGCCAGACTGCTGAAAGATGCTGCAGTAACTATCGCCCCAACCCTAACTGATATATTTAATCAATCACTAAAATCTTCTATCTTCCCCAAGATCTGGAAAGACGGGAAAGTAACACCAATATTTAAGTCTGGCGATCGCTCTAATATGTCAAACTACAGACCCATAACTGTTCTGCCAATCCTGAGCAAAATTTTGGAACGTTTCGTTCACACGCAGATTTACAGCTATTTATCTGAAAATAAAATCCTCTCCGAATCTCAATTTGGCTTTAGACCAAAGTTATCTACGAGTACCGCATTGGCATTTTTCACCGATACTATTCTTGATAATGCTGACAACGGTCTCATCACAGCCTCTGTCTTTCTGGATTTTAGCAAGGCATTCGACACGGTTGATCATGCTATCCTGTTGTGCAAATTGAAATCATTTGGCCTGGATAATAACTCGTTAAATTGGTTTGAGTCATACCTTACCAATCGTCAACAGAAAACGTCAATTAACAATACGTTATCCAGCTCATTACCTGTGTCAGTTGGTGTTCCGCAAGGTAGCATATTGGGTCCCTTACTTTTCATTATTTACATAAATGACATGCCCAACATTGTGAAACACTGCAAAATAATACTCTACGCTGATGACACTCTTCTATATTATTCCTCCAATTCGGTCAAAAACATTGAGCTATGCGTTAATGAAGATCTTCATTCAATCTGTAAATGGCTTGATGAAAATCTGCTAACACTAAACTGTGCAAAATCCAAGTTCCTCCTTTTTGGCGGTAACCGTCGCCTAAAAACATTCACCAATATCTCCATATACGTTAACGACCAACAACTTGCCCGAGAACAAACTTTTAAATATCTAGGAATCACCTTTTCAGAGAATCTCACTTGGTCCGATCACATAAGTAATGTATCGATAAAAATCAACCAACGTATTGGATTGCTTAGAAGAGCTAAAGTCTTCATCCCATTAAAAGCTCGACTTACAATCTACAATTCTCTCATCCTCCCATTATTCGACTACGCTGATATTATATGGGGTGATAAGAACAACACCACCCTCATGGATCAACTTCAAATCCTTCAGAACAAGGCTGCAAAGACGATTCTTGACGCTCCTTACCTATCCTCCTCCACTGAAGCTCTCTCAAACCTACACTGGCACCCACTTACCCACCGGCGATACTTACATCGAATGCTGACCATATTCAAATTGAAAAATAACCTAATAGACTATGACTTCGACCTAAAAAAAAATTAAAAATTAAAATAAATTTTTAATAAAATTTAAAAAAATTTTTAAATTTATTAATTAATTTTTAAATTTTTTTTTAAATTTATTTATTAATTTTTTTTTTTTTTATTTTTTTTTTTGGATATATAATTTAAAAAAATTTTTGGATATAGAGTGATTATAAAATATAGGTAGGATATTTAAAATGGGATATAGACTGCCTATAAAGTGATGTTGTTTATATAGAGAATAATACATGGGTGCGCCAGAAATACTGTACCAGATTTATTTCGAGTGTTGAACATGATATCTCACGAGTGAGCGCAGTGAACAAGTGAGATATCATGTTCAATACAAGAAATAAATCTGGTATTTCCAAGCACCCATGTATTTTTCTGTTTATTATATAAAGGACAGTTTTTGAAAAGCGATAATGTTTACAGAAAAGCGATAATTGAAAAGTGATAATTTTCACATGTGAGATTATCATGAATAATCTCACATGTGTGATTATCACTTTTATCAGTGCTCGAAATCTGTATAAAGCACAATACTTTTTATAATAAAATACAGTATATTGATTTGAAATGATAGGAAAGAACTTCACAATCAATTAAACTTAAAACGTCTAATATACTATGTTTATTATTTACTGTGACTGTAAATGTTACTGCCAGAAAAGTTTATGCTCTTCTGGTTAATTGTTTAACCAGTCTCTCTGCCAATGCGCCCTGTTAAATTGTAGCATGCCCCTAAGAAAGTGTTACCTAGTGATAGTTTAGCCAAACTTTCTGCCTATTTAAAATTTCAAATATTTACTCTGACATGTCAGCAACAAAAGTACTATTAGATTGAGTTTGTTTTATCTATAAGTTGTTTGATAAACACATAAAAGGTGCAGTGCACTCTTCATAATATTCTGTAATGCAAAATAATTATTTTTTCAAGGGAATGTGTTGGCCATGCATTAATGTTTAACGAAGGACAGTTACAGCAAAACATTGTCGATTGTGTGCGCTGCTATATAGTGACGTGTCCTCATTTTTGACTGTGTCAAAGTGCCATTCAGCAAAGACTATTGGTTTTCAAATCACCTGTACTGGTAACATGAACTTTAATTTGGATTGTGAGTCTGTGACTGATGTAAACTGTTAAAATGATTCAATTGAATCAAAATATGTATGTATACTGTAGACTATAGTCTTAAACTCTAAAAATAATTATAGTTTAAATTTGTAATAAATTTATTTTTAACTGTTACTACATTGGTATAATATAATTACATTACATTGAACACTAGAAAGTAAGCTTTACACTGCAAGCATATTTAAACCTTGGGAAGTCTAGGTTTACTTTCGAGGTGTACCTTTACACCAATTTGGTGTCACCACAGAGGAAAGTAGATTTACACCAAAGAAGTGCTAGATAACCTATGGCAGTGTAAGTTTACCCTCTCAGTGTATATAAACACCAAATTAGTGTCCCCACAGAGGCAAACGGATTTACACCAAAACAGTGTTAAGTAACCTAGGATAGTGTAAATTTACTCTCTCAGTGTAAACAAACACCAAATTGGTGTCACCACAGAGGCAAGCGGATTTACACCAAAGCAGCGTTAAATAACCTACGATAGTGTAAGTTTACCCTCTCAGCGTAAATAAACACCAAATTGGTGTCCCCACAGAGGCAAGCGGATTTACACCAAAGCAGCGTCAAATAACCTAGGATGGTGCAAATTAACACCAAATGGGTGTTCATACAGACACAACTATTTACACTGAAGAGGTGTAAATTAACACTAAAATCAGTGTTAACTGACACCTTT